TTAAGTGTATAAACACATATGCTGCTTAATATGTATATGATTATAGAGAAATATAGTGATGTATAATATTCACTAGTGTATAGGTGATATGTTAGTAAGAAATGAAATAAATATAAATATAAGAAAAATATATTTATGCGTTTTGTATAGTGTATATATACAATACACATATTTTATGCACATATTTAAATGTATGTACTGATATATATAAATATACTGATATCTATACACATTTACTTATTAAAATAACTGTACTAAATTAAATGTACCATTATATGTGTAAATATATAATGTTATGTCAGGTGGTGATAAAAGCTATGAAGACTAATAAAGTAGGGTGAAAGGGATGGAGAGTAACAGAGGGGTTGAGTTGCTCTTTTATTTTTTTTTATTTTTAAAAAAGATTTTATTTATTTATTTGAGAGAGCATGCAGCACACGAGCAGGGGGAGGGGAAAGGGGAGTGGGAGAAGCAGACTCCCCCAGGGAACCCTAGGCGGGGCTCAATCCCAGGACCCCGGGATCATTACCCCAGCCGAAGGCAGGTGTTTAACCGACTGAGCCACCCAGGTGCCCCTGAGTTGCTCTTTTAGACAGCATATAATCCGGGAAGACTTTTCTGAGGAGGTGGCATTTGAGCTGAGACCTAAAGGGAAACGCACCCTAGGAGTAGAGAGGAGGAAGAGCATTCCAGGCACAGGCAACACCAGGGGCAAAGACCCTGAAGTGAGAACAAGCTTGGTGAGTATTCAAAGAACCAAGGACTGATTCACCGAGAAATACTGAGCTTCACTAGGCAGGAATTTTGTTCTGTCTTGTTCGCGGCTGCCTCCCGGCCCTACAAGAGGGCCGGGCAGACAGGTGGCGTTCAGCAGACCTTTGTTGAACCTGCTCTTTTGTTGCTTGATTCCTTTATTCTTTCCTCCGTGGTGCATTCTGCATTTATGCGGGGGTACTGGGTGGTGTAGACAGATGGGCAGAGACAGGAAGAGAAGCACTTCCCCGAGGAGTCCCCTAGAGCTGGGAGGAAGCAAGAGCCAGTCAGCAGCGCTCCAGAGCCTTGTGGGGGCGGTGGGAACACAGCTCCCCCACGGAGGTGAGCAAGTGTGAGAAAGCAAGGGTTCAAGCCACCTGGCCGCTGCTCCACAGTGAGGAGGGGGTGCCAGGCATTGGGGGGCCCATGTTCACCCTGTGGGATGCTTCCCACGTCCTGTTTTCTTGCCTCTCACAAAGAGGATGTTTAATTTTTTTGCAAAGCAACTTGCTTCCTCCAGCAGAGCTGGGGGAATTGGGGGAAAGGATCCAGGCTCTGAACTCCCCAGGCTTTTCCCGAAGTAGGGTGTCGGCCTGCAGCTCCCACCCGGCACCCCACTGAGTGTAAAGGTGTCCTCCCCTCAGCCTCCTGAAGAGGTCAAGGAGCGGGGAGCTGCCAGGCCAGCTCTGTACCGCGGAGGGCATCTTACCGGGGGAGGGAAAGACGGGGGTGGTCCAGGTGCAGGGGACAAGACGCAGACTCAAAAAGCCTTGCTGCCCAGGAGCTGCTTTGAGGGACGGAAGAGTCTCTCAGTGGGGAGCCTGCATGAAAGGAGAGATTAGAATCCTAAATGCAGCCCAGTGGGGGGTTGCTTTCGCAGGCGGTGAAGAATCCATCAATTCCTTTCCCAAGTCTGTTATTGAGCAATTACGGTGGGTCAGGCATTGTTCTAAGGGCTTTACCTGTATTCTTTCGTTCAGTCTTCCTAGGGGCCCTAAGAGTTCGATGTCGACCCCGAAGTTTCAGAACTTGCTCCAGGCCACACAGCTCGGAAGTGGCAGAGCCGGGAAAAGCTCACGCTGTTAACTGCTTTGCTCTGTGGCTCCCTCCCCTGAAGGCGGCTGAGCAGTGACCTGTTTTAATGAAAAGCAGGGATCTGCTTCTAAGAACCGACGGGAACCCAACCTGACTTCTAATAGACTCGATCGGAATCCCAAATGTCACACAAGGGTCTGCTTTACCGAACCCACGAAAGCCTCAAATGACCCCACGAAAGAACCTTACTTCGATGAACTAACAAAGCATTCTTATCCCTGGCACAGACTCAAGGCCTCGGTCAAGCTTAAAGACATCTGTTCCTTCTAAAGCAAGCTGCCCTCCCTCCGCCGCCAGATTTCACTTTCCCTTTGTTTTCCCTTTTACCAGCGTCTGTTGACACTTGCCATTTGCCCTGAAACTTAGGGAAGCTATGCGGCACAGGGCTGGATGAAGGTTCGTCCCTCCCCTGAAAGAGGTCACTTGGCAGAAATAAAAAGAAAAATGATGATAATATGACACCGGACAAGGGGCATTTATTGAGCACCTGCTGTGTGCCTGGTGGCCTGGCTCCGGGGAATGTTGCAGGGCCTCCCAGGGCAGGCGCTGAATGATCTTGATCGGAGCAGGAAGCTGCTGCTGGGATGGGGTGGGTGGGGGCATCTGTTTTCTTGTCCAAGGTACACTAGATCTTTGGACAGGACGCTTTGACTTTTCTTGAAACCTAGACACCTGCTTAACCACCTCTCCCCCTCGCCACCCTCCCCAACTCCCAACCCACATTCCATAGCCATGAAGGCCAAGGCCTCTGCCGACAGGTGCCTCTTTCCCTGGCTGGCCTGGGTCACAGATGTGTAATGGCTCTGGGGAGGAGGAATATGAGAGGAGAGAGACATCAGAACAGGTCAGGATAGACAAAGGAAGTGTGTGTGTGTGTGTGTGTGTGTGTGTGTGCACGCGTGCACGCCCTATGGGTGTTTCTCTTGGGGCCACTGCATGGTCCTATCATGGTTCCTTTGAGATGTATTTTCTGGATATTTTCTTTGTCACAATAGTTAAACTCTTCTCTGCACCCCTGCTTTTCCTGTCCACGCACCTGCATTGATGGTGAGTTTAGGACACACTCCCTACATGTTTCTTCTGACTTGATTGGCCCATGGCTCTGTGTATTCACGGCTGCATGTGGCTGTGTGTATGGATGAGATGGCATGTGTGACTGTGACTGCAGCTTCTCTGGACAGTCATGTCTGCCCGTGAATGTCCCTCTTTGTGACGGGAGAGCCCTACGTGGTCACATGGGGTCACAAGTTCACACATGAGTTCGCAGGAACAGAGGTACCATTATGGGGTCTGAATCTGGACATGGCCTTCAGGATTGTCTGAAGTGGCAACCATCTGTACGAAAAACCCTGTCCCCCATCCCTGCCGCCCCACTCCTCCCGCGGATGTTGCCAGCTGTATGAAAGCCTATCTGTGTGCTCCGTGTGCGTGACGTGCCTTTTGGCTCCCCGGGGTAGGGCTGTTGAGTCCGTGAGTCTGGAGTGGCTGGAGATCGGTGTGGGCCTGTCCTGCGTCTGTCTGTGTTCTCTGGCTGCGAGGCTCAGGCTGTGGGCAATGATACCTTGTCGTGGGAGGTCATTTGGTGCAGCTGTGAGTATGGGACCCATATACACCAAGGCCTGGGCCCTCCAGGTGCAGTCTCTGTCCGGCCGTATTCTCTAGTGCGTGGCTGTGAGTCTGGATGCAGGTCAGTACTTCTGCGGGTGGCAGTGAGTGGGCCTCCGGATTCTGAGCCCTGGATGGGGTTGTGGTCCCTCAGCGCAGGAGGCTCTCTCTCCTGCTGTGGGGAAGTTAACGCCCCGTCCCTTACCCTCCTCTGACAGACTGCGGGTAGGGTGGGGGCATCTAGGCTAGCTTTGAAGCCCCAGCCAGCCCCTGGCCTTTCCGGGAATTCTCTGTTCCCTGTGGGGGGTGGGCAGGAGGGTGAAGAGGCCCCGACAGAGAGGCCTCTTGTCCGCCAGGACCTCCAGCAGCCTGGTTGAAGTTGGGCCTGGACCCCAAGTCCAATCCGCCTGACTTTGCAAAAGACACATGGCTTGCCTGGGACAGACATGCCTGTCACATGCTTGGATGGAAGTGAACAGACGGACCCACATATAAGGCAGACACACAGACAGTGGGGCTCCTCAGTTAGGGTGTGGACACGCCCCACCCAATGCCTGGGCTGGGGTCCAGGACTTTAGGGCGTGCCCTGTTTGCGACACACTCCCCACCCAACCACAGATGCCCCCCCACCGCTCTCTGGGGATCCCCCCAAGATCTAGGGTCCATTTTTTTTGGCTAGGCTAGGCTATCTTTCCATCTGTCTGAGGTCCGTCTGTAGTGGCCTGGCTGTGTTTATCCCTGTACCTGTCCCCTGCTGCTCCTGGGCCTGTCCATCCATCTGCCTGAATCAGCCTCTCTTCCTCTCTCTCTCTCTCTGCCTATTGTCCTCTGTCCCTCTAGGTGTCTCCCTGCCTCAGCCTCTTCCTCTGTCCCCTTGTCTCTCTGGGCTGGTGTGTCTGTTCCCAGCCTCTGGGGATGTGTCTGGCTGTGTCCACCTACCTGCCAGTTGTCTCTTCTGCTTACTACTGGGCCTGACTGCCTGTTGCCTTCCTCCAGATCCTTACATGGACCTACCTCCTGTCTCTGAGTCTGTTCGTACCTCTCTTTCTCCCTACGACTGCCCCTCTGCCTGTTTACTGCTCCTGCACCACACGGCTGTCTTTTCAGTCCTCCTGTCGTCTGTCTTCGTGTTGTTTCTCCTGCCCGCCTATCCCTATTTTGTGATTTTTTTCTCTTCCGATCTCCGTCTCCACTCTGCATCTTTTCCCTCCACCTGTCCCTCCCCGCTGGGTGTCCGATCTCTGCGTCAGCGGCCTCTGCCTGCCTGTCCCTCTCTCTAGGTGTGGATCTACTCCGTCAGTCTTTCTGTCCACCTCTCCCCCAACTCAAGGCCGCCCCCCACACACACCTGGGTCTCTCTCCACGTGGGTCCAGGTGAAGGAGAGAAGCGCCCGCCTCCCCCACCCCCTTTCCTCCGCCCAAAGCCAGAGGGAGGGAAACTGAATTAAAATTAAAAGTTCTTCCCAGAAAAAAAAAAAAATAATCCGCGGGCCAGATGCGGCTCGGGCTGCGCTGATTAGCCACCTAGCAAGCGCGGCGGAGCTGATTGGCTGCAGGGCGGGGCGGGGGCAGGGTCCGCGGCGGGGGAGCCGCGCCGGCCGTGGGGTCCCAGAGCCCTAGTGAGTTACTGCCGCTTCAGGAGCTGAGAGGAGCAGGGAGGTGAGGAGGGGGCGCTGGCCGGGGTGGGGCTCCGGAGACCCCGAGGCACGAGGGGGGATCCCGGGAGAGGTTTCCTGGGGGAACCTCCGGGGGGAGGCGTTCCCTGGAGACCTTTTTAGCGCTAGCGGGGATTTGAATGGGAAGCGGGGGGTCTTTTTGGTGCCTTGCTCCCAGGAAGTGAATTCAGAAGTGGTTGAGAGTCTGCAGAGAGTGCTCGCGACTGAGGATGGGGCTCCTTGAGAGGCGTCCCCTTCCCAGGACGGGGATTCGGGGCTTGGGGAGGGGGTTTTCCCCAGAGCAACTTTTAGCTATGATGGGGACCTTGCATGGGGGTTTCTGAGACACTGCACTCCCAGGAAGTGAGCTCTGGACTGGGGGTTTCCTCGAAGACACTCCATGCAGAAGACGGGGCTCCAGTCTCGCTTGGGGATTGCGGACGGCCCCCACCCCCAAGAAACGCATCCGGCTTTGGGAGGGGCTTTTGATGAAGGTCTCAGAGACAGCACATTATCAGAAGGGGAAATTCGGGCTCAGGGCAGGTTCCTGAGACACCCCAAGACCAGGAAGGGTCTCCAGTCTGCAAGTGTCTCTAAGTTACTTCTGCCAGGAGAAGGAATGTTTGAGACTTGATGGGGGCCCCAGAAAGATACTTCTCTAATTCCTAAACGGGGGATTAAATGGGGGATCCCTGGGTCACTTGTATCCCTGGAAGGAGGCTCCGTTTGGGGAATTGTCTTTGGCTTCTACTGAGGATATTTAGAGTTGTGACACAGAGCAGTTTGCAGCCTGGGCCGGGGTGGGGGGGGTGGGGGGTGGGGGTGTGTGAGCTAGGGTCTTAAAGCCGGCTCCCCGCCCCCCTCCAGCTCCTTCAACAGGTTGCATCAGCTCTGGCCTCAGGCTGGGGGCCCAGGCTGGGAGGAGGGGGGTAGGGGGCATTAGGAGGGGTGGGGCAGCCATCCGACACGTGTCCCTGTAAGGAGTGAGACGCTTGGCTAAGCGGTGAGGGTGGAGGGAGTGGGGGGGTGCGGGGGGGGCAGCAAGGAAAGAGGCAACAAGAGAGACTGAGTGAGTGTGGGGTCTGGGAGGAGAGGCTATCCCAGCTTCAGATGGCCATCTCGTCTGCTGTGGGGTCTCTCTCTCTCTTTCTCAATCTCTCTCCCCCCTCCCCCTCTATTTGTCTCTCGCTGTCCTCTTTTTCTGCTTGTCTGAGTAACTGTTGGCATCTCTCCCCCTCCGATTCCCTTCTCTGCCTCACATCTCTTCCTCTGTCGCTCTCACTGTTGTCTTCACGTCTCTCCATTTATCTCCCTCTCATCCTCTGCTCCCGTTCCCCATGCTTCATCTCCGTTTCTCTGGTTCTCCATCTGTCTCTCTCTGATCCTCTACCCTCTTCATCCAGCTCTCTCCACTTTGTAGCCCCCCCACCCCCCACCCCGCTCCATCTCTGATCCCCCGCCCCCCTTTCTCTGCCCACAGCATGGAACTGCAGGATCCCAAGATGAACGGAGCCCTCCCTGCGGATGCTCTGGGGTGAGTCCGGGGCCCAAGAGGGACGAAGACAGGGGTCAGGATTACCCTCTTACCAGCCCCGATTTCTCTGCCCTGTCCAGCTACAGGCAGGAACGGGAAGGCTTCCTGCCCAGCCATCCTCCTGCTCCTGGGAGGAAGCCAGTCGAGTTCATGGATGTGAGTGACCTCACACAATCTGCCCCAGCTTCACCTTGCCCAACTCATCTCTTTCCCTACTGTTCCCTTTTCCTTGGGCTTCCCTGCCTAGCAATTTCCTGCCCCAGCCTCTCCCCTCCCTAGCTGTTTTGCCTCTGATGGCTGCTCCGCCCTCCTCTGTTCCTCTCCACTTCCAGCTGCTCCCCTCCGAAGTTTCTCCCAGCTCTTCCTTTCCAGCTCTTGCTTTTCCAGCTTCTCCCTGACTTCAACTCCTTTTCCTTCCTAGCCTCCGTCCTGTGGCCCTTCTTGGGCTTCTCCCCACCCCAGTCACTTCTCCCCTGGTTTTTCCTGGGCCCCAGTCCTGGTCTCCTTACCTGGTCTCCCTCCCCATGTGTTCCCCGGGCCTTGCCCCTTCCCCCGCAGTTTGAGGGGAAGACGTCATTTGGAATGTCAGTGTTCAATCTCAGCAACGCCATCATGGGCAGTGGCGTCCTGGGGCTGGCCTATGCCATGGCCCACACCGGGGTCATCTTCTTCTTGTGAGTCCTGGGCAGCCTGTGGGGGTCGGGGCAGGGGTGCTGTGTGGGGCAAGCCGGAGGCCTGGGGGCCAAGTCTGAGCTGTGAGATCTGTCATAGGGCCCTGCTGTTATGCATCGCACTTCTGTCTTCATACTCCATCCATCTCCTGCTGACCTGTGCTGGTGTTGTAGGTAAGGCCTGGAGCTCCACCCATGGCTTAGACTCCAGTCTCTGGACCTACCCCTCTGACCTGAGACCCTAGACCTCAACCTGAGCCCTAGATTTTGAACATACCCCACTGAGCATACCATACCCCTGATCTTGGACCCAGTACCCCAGACCCCATCCTCAACTCCCTGGACTCCAGCTCTCAGACAGCACATAGGCCCCCAGAACTTAGCTGGGCTCCCAGATCTCCCACCTCCCAATCCTTACCCCTCAGTCTGGCACCAGACCTCATTTCTCAGACTCTCCCCACAACCAGATTACTACACTTTGCTTCTAAGCCCCACTCCCCAGTCTCCAGCTCCTCCTAACTGTGGAAGCCAGCCCCACGACCCCAAGATACCCACTACCTACTACCCACCTCCAGCCCCCAACCTTCTCCCTGGTCACAGAGCCCACCTCCCAGGCTCTACCTCAAGCCCACCCCAAACTGTTTACCCCTCAACTCCAGCTTCCATCAGTCAGACCCAATTACCCCCAGCACCAACTCCTCAGCTCCCTGAGCCTCAGGCTACCCCCCTCCACACCTCCTCACCCTGGCCTGACCTCCTGGACCCACAACCCATTCCCTCCTGTCTCCCTCCCTACCCCAGGCATCCGAGCCTATGAGCAGCTGGGACAGAGGGCGCTGGGGCCTGCAGGGAAGGTAGTGGTAGCGGCGGTCATCTGTCTGCACAATGTTGGGGGTGAGGACTCTGGGAGGTAGGGGATCAGCTCGGGGGAAGAGGGTGGGGTGGGGTGGGCTTCCTCAGGTTGGGCTGGGGGGATGAGGGGAATCCTTCTGCTTATACCTCCCCCCACCTGCACCAGCCATGTCCAGTTACCTGTTCATCATCAAATCCGAACTCCCCCTGGTTATCGGCACCTTCTTGGACATGGACCCTGAGGGGTGAGTGAGCAATCCCCCCTTGGCCGGCGGGCCATTGACCCTACCTGTGTGGTCTGGTTGCTGTCTTCACCTCTGTGCCCAGCTGACTCCTAGGGCTTCTGACTCCCAGGGCAGGCCGGTGTGATTCTTCCGTTTTGTGAGGCCAACAGCACGCGTGACCATTGCTCTGACCATCCAGCGGACCACGGGGTGGGGGTGCGGATTTCGGTGACTGTTGATCTGGCTGATTCTGTGTGGTAGCTGATTCCGTATGTCCACTCGCCTCCGAGGCTGACCGTGTGACTCTCCATATCAAGCCGACCGAAGCTCTGTGGGTTTGGTTCTGAACTGTTGCACCAGCAGATTATCTACAGCTGTGTCCTGTGTGCTGTGATTCCAACCATGGGTGTCTGACATTCACTTGCTCTGGCTTTTCCCCTGTCCAGTGGCTTCTGTTGGATTCCGGGTCCCTCGGGCTGGTGAAATCTGCCTGGCTGGAAGTGTGAGCATGGGGTGTACTGTGGGGCCAACTCTGTCTATGTGATTGACTCCAACTGTATGCACCCATAGGCTCCCATCTCTGTTTAATTTAGCAGTCATTTTTTTTCTGGCAAGTTCCCTCTGGCTCTGTGCGTGCGTGCGTGTGTGTGTCCTCTGGACTATGGTTCTAACCACATGTGTTTGACCACTGTTCTGAATACTCATCTAGTTGACGGTATGTTTGATTTTTGATCCACCTGCTGGCTGACTCTGTTGAGCTGTTTGGATATGACGGCTGACTATGTATCCTCTTAGATCTTCGGTTTGACTCTGAAACTGTTTAGGTAGCTGACAGTCTGTGTGACTAGGTGTTTCTGATTATTATAATTAGCTCCCAGCAGCTATATGGCCAAAGGTGCTTTGTCGGTTCATTTCTGTGTCACTCTGTATATGAGATGCTGTGTGAATGCCTGGAACATAGTAGGCGATTTGTACAATTCTTTGTGAACAAATGAGTGGTTTTCAGCCAGTTCTGTATTAATTGTCTTGCCTAAGCACCCGCCTCCAATATCTGTACAGATCCTACTTTTTCTCTTTTTTTTAAAAGATTTTATTTATGTATTTGACAGAGACACAGTGAGAGAAGGAATACAAGCAGGGAGAGTGGGGAGAGGGAGAAGCAGGCTCCCCTGTGGAGCAGGGATGTGGGGCTCCATCCCGGGACTCTGAGATCATGACCTGAGCTGAAGGCAGACGCTTAACGACTGAGCCACCCTGGTGCCACCCCCATAACTTTTTCTTTGAGCTTGGTTCCAACAAGAGCTGGCTGATTTTGCCTCTATTTTGGTCTTTGGCTGGGTGGTCAAGTTGGCCCAGCAACTCTTATGGCTCAACACACCTCGAGCTGTTCAAACAACCACCTGTGTCTTTTTTTTTTTTAAGATTTTATTTATTTATTTGACAGACAGAGATCACAAGTAGTCAGAGAGGCAGGCAGAGAGAGAGGAAGCAGGTTCCCTGCCGAGCAGAGAGCCTGATGCGGGGCTCGATCCCAGGACCCTGGGATCATGACCTGAGCCGAAGGCAGAGGCTTTAACCCACTGAGCCACCCAGGCGCCCCACCTGTGTGTCTTTCTGACCTCTTGTCTGACTTTGCACCATTGCTGGATTGTCAGACTGTTGTTTGACCCATCAGACGCACCAGGGTCAAGGCTCACTCTGTGTGTGGTGCCGTGTGTTGGACTGCGGGAGTCTCGCTGGATTAGGGTACCGTATGCCCATCTGGTTCTATGTCCACTCGACAGCACCGTTTTGTCAGGCTGTGTGTGTGTGCGTGTGTGTTCTTAGCTGTGTCCCTTTGACAGGTTTCGACTAAGAGTCTGATTATCTGTCTGGCTTTTTCTGTGGATCCCGTTGTGCCATTTGTCACCGTGATGGCCTGAATGACCTCTCACGGCTGTGGTGTCAGCTCAGCTCCCCTGACTGAGGGCAGAAATCCGTCTGTTCGGCTATCTTCTATGAGTGTCTGCCTGATAGTTTCTTTGGCAGGCAACTAGTCACTGTGTTCACCTGTCTCCCTAGGGGCTGGTTCTTGAAGGGAAACCTCCTCATCATCATTGTCAGTGTGTTAATCATCCTGCCACTGGCCCTCATGAGACACTTGGGTAAGAGGCTTCCTGTGTTGGTCATTGGATAGTGGAGTAAGAGAAGGGGAGTCAGATGGAGAAAAATCCCCATTTTCCAGGGCTGTGAAATATCACGGGAGAGCTTATGGGAGGTGGGCTTTAACAGATGAATAGGAGTTTGCTACGGAGGGCAGGCTGGTCCAGGTAAAAGTAAAAGCTTGTGCAAAAGGGTGGCCTAATTAGGGGGAGATAGCCTGAAAGGCCAAGCTAGTGCTTGATATTTGCTATGTGTGTGGGGGGTCCCTTGATTTCTAAGACTCTGTTTGTTACCCCTTGCAGGCTACCTGGGGTATACCAGTGGTCTCTCTTTGACCTGTATGCTGTTTTTCCTCATTTCGGTGAGTCCAAGGGAGAAGGACATGCAAAAAGTGAAGAAGGAGTTTGGAACATTGCGACACAGCCTTCTCCATGATCTCGCTTCCCCACCCTCCCCCAGGTCATCTACAAGAAGTTCCAGCTTGGCTGTGCTGTAGGTCTCAATGAAACGGCAGTGGAGAGCAAGAGCCCCCCAGGCCTTCCCATCCAGGGTCTCAACAGGAGCTGTGAGGCCCAGATGTTCACTGTTGACTCCCAGGTGGGGGCGCAGGCCTGTGTATGGAGCTTCCGCCACACCGAGGCGCTCTGGTCCTGCCCTCCAGTGCACTCAGCTCAGAATGGGGCCAGGCATTGGCCATTCAGGGTTTCCACATGTCTGATACAGTGGGCAACGATGGGGCCAGGGGGGTGGGGGTGGGGGTGAGAGACCCCTGGAGGTTCTAATCTCTGGTGTGGGCCATTCCCCTAGATGTTCTACACGGTGCCCATCATGGCTTTTGCCTTCGTCTGCCATCCCGAGGTGCTCCCCATCTACACAGAGCTCTGTCGGTGAGTGGGCCGGCAAGTGAGCAGAGGTGGTGTGGTAGTCCTCACGTCCCACAGTCCCTAGGGTAGTCCTGGTGTTGTAGCTTGATTGGGCTAGATCATGCGGGGGGAAGGGTTTGAGGTGGCCTTGGGGGTGGGGTACAGGGCAGTGACTTTCTACTGATGAGGGCTTAAAGATTCTACTTTTAACATCCTGTACAAGCATGAAAGGGCAGAGTGGGGAGGCAGAAATGTTCTGATGAAGGGGGTAGCAGGTGTGGTTGGGGAAGGGGAGGACAGAGAGAGAGAGAGAGAGAGTAGGGTACGGGTGGACAAAATGAGGGGCAGGGAGGATATGTTGGAGGGACATGTGGATGATCAGATGGGGGGGCACAGCATGGAGGTCAGATGCGAGGGAGAGGCAGAGATGGTCAGAGGGGATAGACAAAGATGGTCGCATGGTGTGAGATGGATGGACAGAGGGAGGCTTGGCTAGCCACACAGGCGAGGTAGAGACAGGCCTCCCAGTGTGTACCAGCCGAACATCTGCTCTGGAAGAAGGGGACTCTGGAGGGTATGGGCTTCTTCTGAGGGGCACCAAGTCCAGGGGTCTGGGCATGACCCTTCCATAACCTCTATGACTCAGGCCCTCCAAGCACAGAATGCAAGCGGTGGCCAATGTGTCCATTGGGGCCATGTTCTGCATGTATGGGCTCACGGCGACCTTTGGATACCTCACCTTCTACAGTGAGTGGGGCTGCGGCCAGGGTGGGATGAGCTGGAGCAGGGACTGGGTAGACCGCTGGGGCAGGAGCCCTGGTGGTTTGCCTCCATGCCTGGACCCATCAGTTTCCAAAGAGAGGGTGCGTGTTACACATTGTAGATTTCATTGCCTAGCATGTAAGTATGGGATCGTGTGTGCCTGTGGGGGCATGTGTGTTTCTGGGATGCTGGTCCTGATGCTCCCACCACATCCTGCATCCCGTGCCCCATGTCCATGGCCCAGATAGCGTGGAGGCGGAGATGCTGCACATGTACAGCCAGCAAGACCTGCTCATCCTCTGTGTGCGCCTGGCGGTACTGCTTGCGGTGACTCTTACTGTGCCGGTCGTGCTGTTCCCTGTACGTGGGGTCGAGGGGCAGGGGTGCATGGAGCGGAGCTATGTGCGTGGATGGGTGGAGGGTGGAGGCATGGATGTTTGGCTGGGGAGTGGAGATGGGAGTGGATGGATGGATGGAGGAGACAGGGGTGGCCAGATAGGGAAGGCAGAGTTGTCAGATGGACAGAGGAGGCAAAAATAGATGGTCAGACAGAAAGGGGACATTGGTGGCAGGACAGAGAGAACCAAGGGGGGGAGGTGGGGTAGTCTGTCAGAGGGAGGAGGCACCAGATGTCTGGCTAGACAGAAGAGGGAGGCTGGAATAGTCAGACAGGCTAGAGGCAGAGAGAGATGGACAGTCAGAATAAAGAGACAGGGATGGACGGCATCCCTTAGGAAAGGTAGACACAGAAATAGCGAGGCGTGAGAACAACCAGGCTCTCAGATGGGAAGGTGGGGTGACTAGACAGAGGAAGCAGGCAGAGGTGGTCAGAGGGAGAGAGAGGCAGGGATCTCAGACGGAGTGGAAGGACAGGAGGATGGTCAGAGGGAGGCAGAGATTCCAGAGAGCGGGTACAGGCATCGAGGGGTGATCGGACCAAAGGGAGAGGCATGGATTGTCAGAAGGGTGGCGGGATGCTCTATCGGAAGGATGCTCAGACCAGGTGGACATGGAGATAGTCAGACGGAGGGGGGATCAGGAACCTCACACGGGGTGGAGGCACAGACAGATGCTCAGAGGGTAGAGTTCTATCCAGATGACCCCATGGAGGGGGGGCAGCTGAACTTGAGCCCTGACTGGTGTCCCACCCCACTCTGACCGCAGATCCGCCGGGCCCTGCAGCAGCTGCTCTTCCCAAGCAGGGACTTCAGCTGGCCACGACATGTGGCCATAGCCCTGATCCTGCTTGTCTTGGTCAATGTTCTTGTCATTTGCGTGCCGACCATCCGGGATATCTTTGGGGTTATTGGTCAGTATCCGCAACCCCAGTCCCAGACCCCACCTCATATGGGCCTTATACTCCAAACTTCCATTAACTTCTGTTCCTCTTGCTTGGCCTCCAGGGTCCACCTCGGCCCCCAGCCTCATCTTCATCCTGCCTAGCATCTTCTACCTCCGCATCGTGCCATCTGAAGTGGAGCCCCTCTGCTCCTGGCCCAAGATCCAGGTGAGCATTCTAGGGGAGGGCCGGGGGCAAGAGGGAGCATTCTGAGGAGGGAGCTGCCCAGGATGGCCAGAGAGCAAAAACATTTTCAGGAGGGGGCTGGGGGAGAGGAGGGAAGATGGTCTGGATGAAGGAAAGAGGTTGTCTTGGGAAGGGGCTGAGTGGACCGAGCAACAGTAGGGTCTGCCGAGACAGAGGAGGCATTCCACAGACGGATGGAAGGAGGGCCATTAGAAGATGGTTGGGAGCACTTTCAAGGAGGATGAAGGAGAATGCTCTCAGAAGTGTTCTGGAAAGATGGAGAATTCTTAGGAAGGGGCTGGTGTTAAGGAAGGGGAGGGAGCAGGAGGGTCAGGAATGAATGGGGTACTCTGGAGGGGATGGAGGGCTTGAGGAATATTTCCAGGAGGAGCTCTGGTGTGGAGGGCCAAGCAGCCCCATCTTCTCTCCCTCTCGTTCACAGGCTCTGTGTTTTGGTCTCCTGGGGGTCCTCTTCATGGCAATCAGTCTAGGCTTTATGTTTGCCAACTGGGCCACGGGCCAGAGCCATGTGTCTGGACACTGACCTTGCCCTGCTCCACCCTGGGCCCCTGTGCGCATGCTCCCATGTGTGTGGAGGACGATGGGGCCGCTCTCCAGGGTCCCTCAAGTCTGGCTCATGGAGGTGGCTGGTTCCCATTAACAGGGCTCTTGGAGGTGGTGGGGGCCACGGAGGTTGCAGAGTGGTCCGCTTTCTTCCTCCCCAGGGATGCTGAGCTCGGATCATGGCCCTAAACCCAACCCAACCCCAGGGGGAGGAGGAGGAGGAGACTGGGTCCTTGGGGGAATCCCTGCCCCACCCCGCCCAGTCCTTTCTGCCTCTCCTGGCAGAAGCTGTTTGTCAGGATCACCCTCAAGCTAAAGGGGAAAAATAAAGATGCTGAATTGCAACTCCCGCCTCCGCCTTCTGATCTCTTTCTAAGTCTTCCTGGGGACGCCTGGCTCCCTGGCTTGGTTCAGACAAGCCCTGAGGGTAAACAAGCCCTGAGCGTAGGATTGAACTGGCTCTCAAACATTCACTCACTTGTCCACTCCTTCGGTAACTTGCTACCCAACTCGTACTTTTGTTCATTTTCTCACTCCAGAAACCTCTACTGAGAGCCTCCCGGGTGCCAGGCATTGTTTTGGGTTCTGGGGTTTCAATAGTGCATCAAGAGGACCATAATCCCTGTAGTTGGTGTTCTAGCACCAAAGTAGGCAAACCATGACTCCCAGGCCAAATGCAGCAGCCTCTTTGTAGGGCCACTGAGCCAAGAATAGCTTGCACACTTCTTCTAAATGATTGGGAAAAAAAAATTCGAAGAAGAATAATTTGTGACACTTGAAAATGACGAAATTTAAGTTGCAGCGTCTGCAGCTCTTTTATGGGAATGCAGTAATGCCTGTTCACTTACATATACACATTGTTTATGGTTCTTCTGTGCTAGAACAGCAGGGCTAAGGAATTACAACAGAGACCACGTGGTCCACCAAGCCTCAGCTCTTTACAATCTGGCCCTTTTCAGAAAAAAAAAATTGCTGATCTCTGATGTAGCAGAAAAGAGGAAAAGAGATCAATCATTTCTGATAAAGATGAGCACTGTGAGGGGCTCCTGGCTGGCTCAGTTGGAGCCGGAGCACAGGATTCTTGATCCTGGGGTCGTGAGCTTGAGCTTCTTGGGAAAGAAGTGAAATCTTAAAAGTGAGATCTTTTTTTTTTTTAAAGATTTTATTGATTTATTTGACAGAGAGAGAGATCACAAGCAGGCAGAGAGGCAGGCAGCGAGGGAAGCACGCTCTTCGCTGAGCAGAGAGCCGGATGCAGGGCTCGATTCCAGGACCCTGAGATCATGACCTGAGCCGAAGGCGGAGTTTTAACCCACTGAGCCACCCAGGCGCCCCTTAAAAGTAAAATCTTAAAAAAAATTGATAGGCACGGTTAGGAAAAGAAGTAATGTTGAGTGTGGTGCTGGGGAGGTGGGGAGCCACTGACAGGGTTGTCAGGGAGGACTCATTGACAAAAAGACTAGGAGCCGCGTCCTAGATTGGGCGGAAGGAGCGAGTCCTGTGGTTATTTAGATAAAATGTTGCAGGCAGAGGCAGCAGCAAGTGCAAAGACCCTGAGGTAGGAGCCAGCATGGCCGTTTCGCTGTCCCGCTGGCAATGTATTTGAGTGCCGATTTCACAGCAGCCTGGGTCATGAGACGTGGATTCTTGCCAACCTACCAGGTGAAAATAGTATTGCTGTTAAAATTCACCATGTGTTTCTTTATGAAAGACGTTTCTGGGTGTTTGAGAGACTTTTATTTATCTTCCCAGATAACTTTTAATGCACATGCAGGCCACTACAGATAATCTTTCTTCTCTCCACATTTAGACACAGGACAGCTGGTTGTGGTTGATTCATACTGTAGACTCCTTATTTCACGCTTCTTCATGCCTTACTGCCTGTAACTCAGCTCAACGCTCAATTTAAGCTCAATAAGCCTGCTTTTAAAGAACATGGCTAACTTGTAATTCCAGTACCTGGACTTATAAATGCAGATGTACATATTTAACACCCACAAGAAGAGATCATCCTCTCAACGAGGTTTCTTTTTTTTTAATTAAAAAAAAATTTGTTTTTGTTAACAAAAAATGTATTATTAGCCCCAGGGGTACAGGTCTGTGAATCACCAGGTTTACACACTTCACATCAACGAGGTTTCTGGCAGAGCAAAGTCTAATTTCATCTTTTAAAAAAATGGGTTATTTTAAAGAATTGTTTACCATGCCCAAGTTTAAAAATTTTACATATTCGGGACTCCTGGGTGGCTCAGTCAGTTAAGGTTAAGCGTCTGCCTTCAGCTCCAGTCATGATCCCAGGGTCCTGGGATTGAGCCCCACGTCAGGCTCCTTGCTTGGTGGAATCTGCTTCTCCCTCTGCCTGCTGCTCCCCCTCTAATTTTTGTATAAGGTATGAAGTTTAGGGGGATGCTTTCTTTTTTTTTCTTTGCCTATAGATACTGAGTCACTCCAGCACCATTTCTGAAGACAATTCTTCCTCTACTGAATTGCTGTTGTATTATTTTCTTTTTCTTTTTTTAAGTAAGCTCTATACCCAACATGGCGCCCCAACTCAGGACCCCAAGATTAAGAGTTGCATTTTCTGCCAGCTGAGCTAGCCAGGCGCTCCTTCCTTTTGTATTCTGTAAAAATTCAGTGTGGAACTATTTCTGGGTTTTCTATTTTGTTCCATTGATCTATGTGTTTTATTATTTCCCCAATATCAATATCCCCAATATCCCCAATATTGATTCCTGTAGCTATATAAGTATTGTAATTTGGTAGGTAATTCCTCCCTTTTTTCCCCCATAATTGTTTTAGCTATTCTAGTTTGTTTGCCCTTCCATATGAATTTTAGAATAATCTTATTTACAATATTGCTGGGTTTGGGGACAACTGGCTGGCTCAGGTGGTAGAGCAGATGACTTTTTTTTAATTGAGGTATAATTGACATATAACATCAGTTTTGAATGTACAACATAATGATTCAATATTTGTATATATTGTGAAATTATCACCACAATAAGTCTAGTTAAACATCTGTCGTCAAACACAGTTACAAAAAATTTTTTCTTACGATAACTTTTAAAAAAAATATTTTATTTACTTATTTGACACAGAGAGAGACAGCGAGAGAGGTAACACAAGCAGGAGGAATGGAGAAAGGGAGAAGCAGGCTTCCGGCCGAGCAGGGAGCCTGATGTTGGACTCGATCCCAGGACCCTGGGATTGCGACCAGAGCTAAAGGCAGACGCTTAACTGACTGAGCTACCCTGGTGTCCCAATAATAGTGTGTTTTGCTGTAATGAATACTGAAATGTACTTTAAAATCATGGTAAGTGGGCCAGAAGAGTGTGGTAGGCAGAATAAGTGCCCCGCACCGACCGTGTTCTCAATCCTAATCCCTGGAACCAGTGAATATGTTGTTACATGGGGAAGGAATGGAAGCTGCAGGTGGACATAAGTTGCTAGACCTTAAAATAGCTTCTCCTGGGTTATCTGGGTAGGTCCAATCACAACCCCTTGTAAGTGGAAGAGGGTCTGAGAAAGAGATGTGAGGATGGGAGCAGGGTCAGAGAGATGTTATGTGTTTGCTTTGAGGATGGAAGAAAGGGGGCACTAACCAAGGAATGTGGGCAGCTTCTAGAGACCAACAGGCGAGGAAATCGTTTTCTCCTGAGCCTCCAGGAAGGAACACAGCTTGCAAACACCTTGATTTTAATCCAGTGAGATGCATTTTGGATTTCTAACCTACAGAACTGTAAGATAATAAATTTGTGGGTTTTTAAAAACATTTTTGTAATTTATTTAAGTAATGTCCGTACCAAACGTGGGGCTTGAACTCATGACCCCAAGATCAAGAGTAATGTGTTCTTCCAACAGAGCCAGTCAGGTGCCCCCAAATCTGTGTTGTTTTAAGCCACCAAGAATGTGGTAATTTGTCATAAGAGTGATAGAAAACGAATACACCCAGAAACAGATTAGTGAAACAAAATAGAAGGATGAGAAACATGCCTATCTATACACATTCATTTCCAAGTGGGAAAAGATGGGTTATCTACCAAATGATGGTTTGACAAGTGTCTATCCACTTGGAAAAAATAAAGATTAAATTCTTACCTTATTCTATGTAAGATAATAAAGTCAAGAAAAATTAGAGGTTTAAATGTAAAAATGTAAATTCATAAAGCACTAGAAGAAAATTTAGGAAATATGATGAATCTTGAGGTGGCAGAGGCATTTCTTTGCATTACACCAAGGCTGTGAGCAATAAATCTGCTATATTTAAAAGATATAAAACTGAAAAACTCCTCTGAGTCAAAAACCATCATAACCAACAATCTGAAAGGGTAAATTTGAGGGAAAATGTTGAAACACTGTAAGGGAGAAAAAAATATTTTCCTTCTACCCTTCTGGGTTTTTGGTTGGGGCTTTGTAACAAAAGACAGATTAATAAGAGAAAAACAAATAGAAGGCTATTAACACGTGTCTCCAAATCGATGGTAGAGCTTTGGGTTTATATAGCAATTTGGACTCTTAACAGGAGAAAGGGAGTTTGGGCTTCTGGGTTTGGGAGGCAAGTTATGGGGAAGTGACCTGGGAGTGTGGTAAACAAGGATAAGGTTTGTTATGCAGATTTAAGTCATTGCTTTCTCTATTGATCAGTGTTTCTTGTGATTTAGACTCCTGCACTTGGGGGGGGGAGGGACAGAAACCCTTACAAATGGAAATTTCCTTTATAAATATAAATTTCCCTTAGATATGGTAGATATGATAACATCTACTGTTTCTAGAGCTTCTGTCTGCCATTTCTCAAAATAATCAGCTCAAAGTCATGGTTATGCCAAAGAGGCATATTTTGGGGTGGCATATTCTGGTCCCCTACAATATGCAATAAATTAAAAGTAACTATCGCTAATATATAACGAAGCTTTTGTAGATCAATAAGAGAAACTGGAGTAACTCAATGAAAAAAGTCAGGCAATGGTGTTACTTCACATTATGGTACGAAGGATTAAGAAGTAGGTAGTATGAAAGAAATCACGGAAATGGAGGATGGATCGCAGAAGTTTCAACATTCATCTAGTAGGAGTTCCAAACAGAGAATAGAAAAGTGGAGAGAGGGGCACCTGGGTGGCTCAGTCAGTTAAGCGTCTGCCTTCTGCTCAGGTCATGCATGCATTCCAGAGTCCTGGGATCAAGCCCCACATCCATGGGCTCCCTGCTCAGTGGG